GGGGTTTTTTTTTTTTTTTTTTTGTTGGAGGGGGGGTGGTTTCCAGGCAGGGGGGGGGGATTTTCGGGAGGGGGGGGACCCCCGGGTTCCGGAGGAAAAGGGGGGGGGGGGAATTTTCCACAGTAAAGCGGCGGTGAATCACGCTCTCTCTAATATTGCGACCCCCCACAATCCTTGTCGAAAGCCGTTGCATAGTGATGGCGGATTTGCCAGCATTGTGTGCTGTGTGTTTGTGCACACGCAATCACCTTGCACTCGTATTTGACAGGGATGGTGGGCCTGCGCGCAGCAGGCAAGATAACGGCCCCTCCGCCTTCCCTGTCAAGAACCAATGCAAAATGATTACGGGGGCGCCCGCGCATGATTTTGATGTTGGTGTAAGAACTGTGTGCTGTATGGTCTTTTGCGAATAATGGTGGGTTTGTTGGTATTGCGCACAGCAGGCAGTGTTAGATCCACAACGTGGCTTCCCAGAGGACTGGATATCTCGTCGGGGACTGGCTCTTCGTCCTGAGTCGTCTGGTGACGGTCCCGTGGGAAAGTCATGGCCCCCGAGGGCAGACAGTTGTTGAACATTTTCCGTATTATATTTTGGAATGTCGGTTAGATCTCCGTATTACAGTGAGGCCACGCATCAAGGAGCCAGAGGCTTTTCATCTGGATGCCTCGGGTTATCTTCGCCTCGCGCGCTGCGCAGCGACTTCCCGAGGCCCCTGAGGAGCTTCGGCGTTTCTTTGGGTTTCCCCAGGCTGCGGCGAGCGAGGGGGGGAAGTGAGGAGGAGCCCTTCTCAGAAGGCTGCGGGGCTTCCCTGAAGTCCTCCGGCCTTCTAAGAAGTGTTATGTGTCTTCGGGGAAAGCTTAACATATATCTCAGAAGGACGGACCTCCCAACCTTCTGAGAAGTCCTGCTCACTCGCACTTCCCCCTGGGCGCGCCGCCGACAGGTTCCTCACGCGCGGTTGAGTGTTGGGCTTCTCGCGGGCGGTAGCTGGTTTTTAAATTCAACGTCGGCAGAGTGTGCGTTGCTTGCTGCTGGGGTGGAGCCTTGGTCAGAGGAGGAAGCCGTACCGATCCCGATCACCTTCCCTTGGCTTCATATTTTTGTTGTGCTTCCCATCGGCCCTTGTCGCCACGGCTCGACTCGCCTTGGGGAGTAGCAGTATGGGTTTTTTGATGTTCTGCAAATAGGGCAGGACTGCTTGGCGCTGGGGTGGAGCCTTGAGGGCGAAGACAATGCCGATCCGACGATATTGTCACTCGTGACGAAATATCCCTTGCACAGGCCTTGGCTGTATCTGGCATAGGAAATTGAATACCACGGATGGCGCATTTTGGAGTTCATGTTTGTACTGGATGCGGAGCGGACGAGCAATGCGGGAGGATGTTTGTGTCACGGCCGAAAACGATGCTGCATGTTGACGGTATCATAGCGCCCCAATGATTGTGCATCGCAAGCGTAGTGCAGCACATGTGCAGCGCTTTTGCGCCTGCCAGGAGCCTCCTGAAGATTGGGACGGTCCGCTGCCGAGAGTGCGTCTGTGCATCCTGGGTCTTGTCTCCCCCGCTGGATCATAATGCCTGTCTGTAGTTTGTGTATTCATCGGGTCCTCCGTCACGTCACCCTTCATGCTTATTATGACGCGCGGCATCTATGCTTGCACTGTCTGTTCGTCTTCGTCGTCCTCCCTGTACAGCGACGTGCCCCGCACGACGTGTACATCCGTGTATTTGGTGATCGAGCCCAGACTCTGGCACCTTCAATCAGCTGTTTTTCTTGAGACTGGCTGCGATGATGGAGTGCAGTGATTCGCACGAGAGTGCTTATGGCAATATATTTCTCCTGTAGCTGCCCTCATACTCTATGATCCCTCTCGGTTATGCGCAGTCTTCAGGGTCTGCCGTGCACGCTCTCTGGCACTGTAAGCAAGATTCGCCAGGCGAAGTCATAGGTGGATGCAGGAACGAGTATATCATCCCACCTGCACCTGAAGACGAGGCACGGCTTGTCATTCTGTCGTTGCAAGTTTCTTCTTTGCAGACCCAGGGCCGCCAGCGTTTGCAAGGGCACGCCGCAAGCATTGGCTCAGTTATATTGTGCATCATGCGATGCAGTTTTGATCAGCACAATCACGATGCATGCAATCGCCCCGTCGATTGACTTCAGTGTGCCGCATCGTTGCAACACCATGCTTGGCCAAGCGTAACGCGCTTCGCAGCGCTAGAGTGCCGTATTGTGACGAGCGTTGCCCCGCATATTTTGCATCACATGCGTTGTTTGGGAATGGGCCGATGTTTTACGTGTTTGTGCCACACGCACACCTCTTCAAGATATATGCGATGCGCATGTCAATTTCAGGCACGGGGCACTTCGCTCTTCTGCTTCATGGCCGTGCTCCCTGGTTCTATCGAGGAGTCGGGAATGTTTGTTTGTCTGCACTCGCATGCGTGTTGCTTGTTTGATTTCTGCTGCGTTTTGCGACTCGCAGCATATTTGCAGCATCTTCCCGTGTTGGATTGGTGAGGCTGAGCTTCAGCCGCGTCCTGCAATTTGACACACGAGAGCGGTCACTGACGATGCCGGTGGGCCTTTCGAGCCTCGAGGGGACAGGGGGGCGATGGAGTGGAGCCTGAGCCAGAGGCAGGAGGAGGCGAAGGGAGTAGGAGGAGGCGAAGGGACGAGGAGGAGGAGGAGGAGGAGGTGGAAGATGAAGATGAGGCGGAGGGTGGAGGAGGAAGACATATGAAGTTCGCGGCAGGACGGGATAATAGGCACGCATCTCACGTGGGCAGACCAGGAAGGAGCCCAGCGCTCGCTGGCACCTCGGCAAGGCCCATTCGTGTGAGCCCGAGGGCCGGAGGCTCTGCGGGCCAACTGTGGCACGGCTGGTGGGGCTGCAACGGCGGCAGCAGGTCGCCGAACACGCAGCCAATGGGAGCCCCACGGGGTAGCCCTCGCGGGCGAGTTCTCTCCCCCAGGCCACGAGTTCCTCCTCCTCCTCCTCCTCATCATCATCATCATCATCATCATCATCATCATCACTGTCGTCATCACCATCAGCAGAAGCAGCAACGCCACAATCACCACCACAATCACCAGCATCATTATCATCACCACCACGATCATCGTCATCAGCATCATCTTCATCATCATCATCATCATCATCACTATTAGCATCATCAGCATCATCAGCATCATCGTCATCATAATCACCTCCATCATCGTCAGCGTCATCGTCATCGTCATCGTCGTTATTATCATCATCGTGGTCGTCGTCATCGTCGTCATTGTCGTCTTTGTCGTCATCGTCATCGTCATCGTCAACAGCATCATCTTCTTCATCATCATCATCATCAGCATCATCATCATAACCATCATCACCATCATCACCACCATCATCATCATCAACATCATCATCATTATCATCGCCATCGCCATCGTCATCGTTATCGTCATCCTCCTCCTCATCATCATTATCATCACCAGCATCATCTCCCGAAAAGAACTGGCCGCTCAGAAAAGGTGGGGAACTCGAGGATGCACCCCGGGGAGGCGATCTCGGACGCACCCCCTATCATCGAGGATGAGCGCTCCCCCCTCACCGCATGGCCCGGGGAGCCCGAGAAAGGTCCCCTGGCGGCCAAGTTTGAGGAGGAACGCCGAGATTGTAGGACAGCGTGCAGGACAGATGTCGGATGGTTGGGCCCCCGCCCCCCCCCTCGCCGAGAGGCAAGACCGGGAGGGGCTGGAGCCTTCCAGAGCGCTGTGCAACGGCCGTGGCGCCCGACGGGTCCTCCAGGTCCGCCAGCTCTCACAGAGTCCTGATGTACCCTCATCCGGATCTCTCATCATCCCCTTCCCAGGCATCCGTCGTCGTAACTGATTTGTTGTAATTCTGGACTTCCTGGGGACCGGTTTTTCATCCTGAGTAGTTTTTGACGGCCACGGGCCCCATAATGGCCCCTTCGAGGGCCAAACGTTGCAGACAGCCTTCCGTCGCGATCCGAATTCATCCTCATCCGCTCGGCATCGCTCGGACGTGTGCGTTTCTCTCGGCAAGGCCATCGCCAGGAGACCTGGGCCATCCTGGAGCATATTCGACCATCTTGAGATACAAAGATAAAGGAGACCTCACAATTCACGGGACACGGACGTCTGAGCGATGGCGAGCTCACCCTCGTTCGAGTTCGTATTTTGCCCGCCCCCGCCGACGAGGAGGGTCTCCGAGACCTTGCCGCCGGGAAGGGCGCCAGCATCTTCGCCTGCGACGCGTCGGCGCCTCCGCCTCCGTTGGCCCCCTGAAGCTCGTGGCTCGCGGGGCGTCGTTGCGCGGCCGCCGCAGTCACGGGCAGCGATAGGGGTGGACAGCAGGGCTCATGGCGGAAGGTTATAAGAAAGAAGTGTTATAAGCCTTGGCCGAAGGTCTCAGAAGGACACAGGGCTTCTGAGAAGCTCCACCGCCTTCTGAGAAGGGTTGCCCCTTCTCACTTCCCCCCGAGCGCTCCGAGGTTCGAGTTTTTGTTAGGCCGTTCTCCTTTAGGTTCTCTGCTGTTTTCCAGCCTCGGGCCGATTTTCGAGCAGCTGCGCCTTGCCGAGGGCGTTCTCGGGATGGCCGGACCGTCCCGGAGCGGACACCCGAGTTATGACGTCGACCAGGAGGCCTGACGACCTGAGGATCTCAGAGGGAGGTGTTCCGGGGATCAGCCCACAGGGAGGAGGCACCACACCCAGATCGCCCGTCCATCGCCAGGAGGGGCCGGGTCGCCCACTCCGCCGAGGAGCATGCGGACTCGCTGTCGGGGGCCTATCGCCGATGTATCGTCGACGTATCACCGATGTCGAGTCGACGTTCCCCTCCTGGATCAGTCCCCCGCCTCCACTGTTGCCCTCACAGGGCTTTCAGGTGAGCGACGGGGCAGTGTCGGCAATTCGAAGAGCAAGAAACTGCGTGCGGCACTCCCAGAGGGTCGATTGTTGTTCGTGATTGTCGGCTTCTGGATGCCGTTTAAGCGCACCAGGTTCGTGTCGTGTCGACGCGGTGGCAACCCCAGCGCGGGCGTTCAAGCTTGATTGCCCCAAGTGGCCTGGAATCTTCCGACATCGATCGGTCTGCGCTATATCGGAATGCCGCGATCGTGAGAGGTTGCTCGGTCAACGCGGGGTCGGGAACCAATGCTGAGTTCTATCGGCACGAATTTAGCGTAAACGTACACGGGTCGGAGTCCCGCGTGGATTTCTTGATTCGGCGAGGGCCCCCGTTGGCGGCGCACCATGTGCCGCCCCTGGCGCGCTCCGCGCGCAATTGGAAGGGTGGTCCAGCGCACCCGAAGATCTGCACCAGCCTCATTTTTCCTAGCAACGGGTCACATGCCAAAGCCGAAGCGTTGATCTTGAAGCTGAAGAGAACGTCAGGGGGACAGAGGAGTGCGGAGGATGATGATGATGAGGAGGAGGAGGTAGAGGAGGAGGAGGAGGAGGAGGAGGAGGAGGAGGAGGAGGAGGAGGAGAAAGGTGAATAAGACATGTCATATTACCGAGGCTCAGACGGAGGATAAACATGGTGGATGTGGGGAGAGGATGTTGAGGGATAAGGATAAAGAAGGACGAGTGAAGGAGGGAGGAGGAGAAGTGGTATAGGCAAGGGAGGAGGAATGTCGTTGTCGGACGGAGGCACGCGCGGAGCGCGGTGCTCTGAGATATTTGGGTTAGAAGGCGGGGTGGGTGGCGCTTGGCAGACACCACCCCGGAAGGAGCAGAAAAGACGAAGGCTGCTGAGGTGACGAAGGGGGGAGATCCGGCCGGAGAGCGGGGAAAGCCAACCCCTGACTGGAAGACAGGTTTGTTCTCACAAGTCGCCAACAGGAAGTACACCCAATCATCAGAGTAAGGGGGCATTCGTTACGCCTTGGTGCGTGGCTGAAGTGAGAATCCGTCGTGAGGATTCTGCTTGTTGCGTTGTTGTTGTTGTTGTTGCTGCTTTTGTTGTTGTTGAACATTATTTATTCTAAAGAATAATTATTGTTGGGCCCCCTGGTGCGCGCCCCCCCTGCGCCGCCTAGGCCGCAGCTACATTTTCATCATTTTCGTGAGGAAGCCTCAGGTAAAACGATGTGATCCAGATCCGGTTGTTTTGTTGTAATCCGTTTTCCCTTGCAAAAAAAACACTATAAAATGACATTTCTTGTTCTAATATAATCAAATTTCAAGAATCCCTTGCAAAAATAAGGTAAAGTGGACATTCGCGCGCGCAAGACGAAATCCTTCCAAAACCTTAGTGTTCGCAGCGATTTTAACATAAAAACATCAAAAAACCAATGGTTTTTCAACAAACAATTGTCAAAATCTCATCCCGCGCGCTCTTGCGGATTCGTAGGAAACCCAACACTTTTTAAACATTTCTGTCAAACGGGCTTTGCGAGCAACTTTTTCGAACTTCTGCGACAACGGTTGCGCACCTGCCAGGGCCATCATCCCTGTCAAATAATACCATGCGGGACATATTCGTTTTTTCTTCGCGCGCGCACGCCGTCGTCGTCGGCCGCGGGGCCCTGAATAGTAGCCACGGTCGTCCGCAGGCCACGAAGTGAAGTGTCCGAACGTCATAGGGCGGGAAGCTGGGTGTGGGTGGTGGCGAAGAGTCGTTTGGAAAATTGGTAGAGCTTGAACCGGCCCCCCCACAAAGTGGGGGTATTGCCCGCCTCCTATGAAAACCCTGGCACTGGTGAGAACGGAGTGTCCCCACGTGCTAGTAATTTTTGTTGTTGTTGTTGTTGTTGTTGCTGTTGTTTGTTGTCGTCGTCCCCCCAGCGACCCACCCCGCGACCCACCCCGCGACCCACCCCGCGACCCACCCCGCGACCCACCCGGGACCCACCCGGGACCCACCCGGGACCCACCCTGAGACCCACCCCGCGACCGATCGTATTTGGTTTGAAGAAAACATTGGCGCCTGCGGCGGGCGCGTATTATAATTTGTGAAACTTCGGCGCCTGCGGCGGGCTTCTCCAGAGTCTCGCAGACTGTCGACGTCCCCACCGCCCCCTCACTCTTATCCGCATCTGCGGGGTGCTACGGAAATTAGCATTCGAAGATGCAACAGCGCTAATTGCAACACTTGTAGTGACACTTACCTTAGCGGCTAGTCGAGTGCTGAACGGGGGGAGGGAGGGGGGAAGACCCTAGGGGACAGGGAGCAGGCTGAAAGCCCCTCACTTGAGATACAGTTTCGGGCATTCTGCCAGAGAGGATGCGACTACAAGTACGGTAGGTTCGCGTTGTGTCGACCAGCGGCGACCCCGCCGCTGGCGTGCAGCGTTGAACGCTGCCGGCGACCCGGAATTGGTCGATGTTGAAAGATCTAACATTTCGGAAACGGGCGATCGTTCAAGGCTGAACGACCCCGCGGTGTCAGGAGCCAACGCCGAAGTTGGTACGACACGAGCCTGCCGTAAGCACCTATTACCGCGAGGTGCCCAGGCACATGGGCTCAACATTACATGCACTCACAGCGAAAGCAGGCCCCCAGGACGGGGCAAGGAGCACGAAGAGAACAGTTGCAAGGAAGAGAGAGAGAGAGAGGCACGAAGCGCCAGCCAGGCGAACGAGGGCGGCCCACAGCGAGGGAATTTGAATGCATGATGCATGAGAGAAGACAGCTCCGAACAGCATAAGTCCGATTGGGGACGGAATCCGCGCGCATAGAACCAGGGTCAAGACTTGTACAATATGAGCGCAGGGATCGACAAAACCGACGTCATGGGAGGCCGAATGGGGGCGACCGGCAATGGGAGAGCTTGGACAGGCCTACGGCCAAGAAGCCGAGCCCAGACCAGCAGACAGCTCAGCTGCCCCGATACGCCCGTTCTGAAGCGCAACACGTACCGTGTTCAGAACGTCCGTGTTGACACGTTTCGTTTTGGCTCGGGCCCGCGTTCTGGCGAGCGTGCCGCTCCAGGCGTACGTGCTCAAAACATGTTGAGCTCCATGTCAACACAATACGGGTTGCGCGTTGCGTATCGGGCGGCTAAGGTAAACAGAGAGAGAGAGAGAGAGACCTAAGAAGCTATGCTTTCCTGAACTTCTGGGAAGATGCTGGAGTGAGCAGCATTCCTGCGGGCAGCCCACGAATTCCAAAGGTCCGATGATTGGGGCAAGGCGTACTTAATCAGCAAGCCCTGCAATCGACCCCCCCGCCCTCTTTGTGCCCTCTTTGGCTAGGCGACATCCGCACAGGTGGCGGAGGAGGCAGCGGGGGCACAGCGCTGCTTGGCCACGGTGGCGGAAAAGGCAGCAGTGGCCGCCGAGAGTCCATGTCGCAGTCACCTGTGGCAAGCAGGTGACGCGCGTGGGCCCGTGCCGGAACGAAGCGTGTGTTGAAACGGGGACAACACGGCTGCGGCTACGGCTCGGGCCTGAGGAGGGATGAAGGAAGAGGGGGCAGAGGAGTAGATGTGATGGAGGGCGGAGAGGTTTGATGGATGAGAGATGGTGAGCTGCCCATCTCTCTCCGTGTTTCCCGTCTGCGGCCAAACATCGCGCCTTATTTGTAACCCGCGTTGCAAAGCACAACCTTTGACGTCGTCGCGCCGTGGATCAGTCCCGACGGAAGGTTTTCTGCATGTGCTGGTCTTCGGGGTCCTCACCAGGCAGGCCCCAGGCCTTCAAGCTACGGCTGAGGATGCAAAGCCGGTCCCCAGGAAGAGGTCCAGACCTCACGGGGGAACACGGTTTCAAAAATCACGACGTCGGATAGTCAGGTTTTCCCAGCGCCAGTCTTGGACGAACTCGTCTTGGCAGGCGGCCACTGCAGAACTCGTTCTGGCTCCTGCTCTCAGAAGAGGGCCAGTTGACACAGCGTCGGCTTTCCCGCCTGGCTCGAATCCACTCAGAATCGGCCCCCGGGCCCCTCCCGAGGTCCATTTTGCTCGGTGTGGATTCAGCCGTGGCGACGAGATGCCTCCAGGGGTCCCCAGAGGGCCCGAAACGCGCCAGGGAGGGGCGGCATTGTCTTGACTGGCCCGCCTCCGATCCTCGTCGCTCTTCCCTCCAGTCCTCCCCAAAAGGGGCCGAAGTGGACGGGGTCTGACGATCGCGCCGCGTCGCCGTCACACCCGTCTGTCTTCCACGCCGACGCCGTTCAATTACGCCTCGCCGGCGTCGTCAATGCATCGGAATCGCCGAGGCATCGTCGTTGCACCGCCGAAACTTTCGGGGGTGGTGGGCAGGACGGCCCCTGGCGGATGGCACGCCCGAGCGTCACCCGGCACAGGACGACGACCGGGCGTTCTACCGCCCAGGTGTTGCCCCACCCGGATGGGTTCTCGGTGGCGGTGGTCCTTGCTTCTCCTCTGAATTTCGGCGGCCTCTCCTCCCCTTCCCTGGCATCTTGCGGCCTACGGGGCCTATCGCCAATCGGTTGGCGATGCATTGCCCGTGCCAAATCAGTGTCCCCCCCCGTCCCTTGAGCCAGTTCCCCCGATCTTTCCCCCATCGCCCTCATTCCGGGGAAACGTAAGACTCGAGTTCGCCAGAACTCGGCTTTGCCGCCGACACTTTTTGAAAAGGGCCTGTTGCAGATGTTGGCGGTCCAGTTTTCGTGGGATGTCTGCAGCGAGAGGTCGCGTCGCATCTCAGACTGGGTCTCGTCATTGTCCTGACGGCACCGTCAGGCCAACCCGAGTCCCCACGGCCCGAGTCTTACGAGCTTGTTTCTTTAGTGCTTGGGGCATGACAGGCGTCATGGCCCCCGCCCCCCCCCTTATGACGTAACGCTCCACCCCCCCCCAGTGCGCTCCAGGCACTGCCGCCGTGTGCATCGGGATCCGCGTAGGTGTCTGCGTAGGAATCTGCATAGGAGTTTGGTCCGCAGTCGTCGTCGTCGTCGTCGTCGTCGTCGCAGACGTAACGTCTCCCCGACCACACGGTACGAAACCATCCGGGCAGGGACGCCGCTCGCCTCCAGCGGGAGGAGAGCCGCCCGGAGGGCGGGCGGCCCCGGCGGCTCGACGCAGGCGGGCCGTCGGTGCTTCGGGCCGGCCCAGACCTCTGCTGTCCGACCACACGGCTGCGATCGAGACCTCCTCGCCCCCCCTGCAGGAGGGGGAGGAGGAGGAGGAGGAGGATCGGATCGGATCGGCTCTATCGCGGTGCGAATGAAAGGAGGACACAACTCTCTACCCAGACCTCCACGGCGACCAGGAGCACAAGGTAGCGCTCCGCGAGCACCAGGTAGAAGAAGAAGTGTCACTGCTGCTGACAGTCGGGAGGCTTGTCAGCGGTCGAAGCGACACTGGGACTGGGACCCGCTGCCGCCGCCGCCGAACGTGTGGCTTCCCCGAGCTGCCCCAGCAGATCACTGATGCTGCAATCGCCGCTCGGCCGCGCCGAACGATCTCCTGCAGCCGATATCGTCGTTCTCAAGGGCCTGGTCGCTGTCTGTGGCCCCACCCCCCTTAGGGCGTCGGCGTCCCTCAGGAGCCGCGCCCGCTCCTCGCTGGCCTCCCACCGCTGGATAGCGGCCTTCTCGCACGTATTGACTACCGCACTGGTGCTGATCGTGTCGGGCTCACTCCCCGCCAGCGCCGGCCCGCGACTGCAGCTGCTAGAGTAATGACTAGGAAGAAAGGGCCCAAGCTTCGGCGTCCTGGTCTCGCCCGTACCGATCGCAACACTGCAGCTGTCCACATAGGGCTGTAAACTAGAAAGGAGGCTGGGGATAACGGGCTCTACCTTCGCCTTCCTTTTCTCGCACGACCTGATCGCAGCGCTGTAGCTGATCATGTTGGGATCCGTCTGCGTCTCCAACTTATTGCACACGCTGTTTTCAGAGTTGTGGCTAGAGAGGATGGCGGGCTCCAGCTTCGCCTTCCCCTTCTCACAGGCCTCTGAGTTGTGGCTAAGTGACGTGTCGGGCTCTAACGTCGCCTCCCACTTCTCGCAGGCGCTGTTCCAAGTGATAGGGCTAGCGACGATAGTGGGCTCTACCTTCGCCTCCCCTTCATCGCACTTCTCCCTGGGCTTCTGTTGCGCCCTCCCCTTCTCACATGCCCTGATCTCAGCGCTGTAGCTGATGGTGTCGGGCTCTTCCTTCGCCTTCCACCTCTCGCACGCGCTGGTCCCCGTGCTGTGGCCAGTAATAGGGATAACTGGCTCTAACTTCGCCTTCCCCTTCGCGCTCGTCCTGATCGCAGCGCTGTAGCTGATCCTGTTGGGCTCTGCCTTCACCTCCCACATCTCGCACATACTGTTCACAGAACTGTGGCTAATGATGGTAGGCTCCAGCTTCGCCTGGCCTGGCACTCCCATCGCCTCCTGAGCCTCACACGCCCTGATTGCAGTACTGTAGCAGGTCATGTCGGGCTCTAACATCGCCTCCAACTTCTCGCGCGCGCTGTTCTCAGAGCTGTGGCTAGGAGGGATAACGGGCTCCAACTTCGCCTTCCTCTTCCCGCATGCCCTGATCTCGGCGCTGCTGCATATGGTGTCGGGCTCTGCCTTCGCCTCCCGCTTCTCGCAAGCGTCCTCGCCGCCTGCGAGTCGCCAGCCGGCCGCCAAGCCCTCCTTGAAGGCGTCGGCAGGATCGGGAAGCACTGCCCAGCAGCCGGGGGCGTAGCCGACCGCGGGCGAGTCCAGCAGGTGCAAGACCTCCGCGCCCTGCTGCTGAGCCCGCCGCGCGGCCGTCCGCCACAGCCGCGCCCGCCGCCGCGCGGCGCGCGCCACCGGTGTCGCCCTTAACGAGGGCGGGGCGGCGGTGGCGTCCTCACACATGTGTCGCGGGCGACTCGGGTGGCACAGCGCCGTGCGCAGGCCGCTCTCGAGTCACCACTCGTGGGCAAGATGAGAGAAGTCGCCCCGCGGGGCTGGGGTCGTGGTCTGTCGGGCCGCTAGCCCAAAATGGGGCGCCTCGGACCACAACACCTCAGGAGGAGGAGGAGGAGGAGGAGGAGGAGGAGGAGGAGGAGGAGGAGGAGGAGGAGGAGGAGGAGCAGCAGGAGGAGGAGGAGCAGGAGGAGGAGGAGGAGGAGGAGGCGGAGGAGGAGGAGGAGGAGGAGCCCCCCGCGAGAGCGGCGGAGGCGTGCTACGGGGCCTGGCAGACGGCGCGGCCCTCGGACGGTTGTAGTACATGGCCAGCGCCGCCGCGGGTTGCGCTGCGCCTGCCTCCTGGGGGGGCGCCCCGCAGCGAGCGGCTCGCCCAGCCAAGCGTCAAGGAGCGTCAAGGCGCTGAGGTAAGTCAGTATCCTTGAAGCAATGCCCATCCCCTCCGAGACCCCCACCAAATTACCCCCCCGGTTGGGGGTACACCCTCGAAACCCGAAGAATACGGCCTATGTCCCCATCTAGGGGGGTAAATCGGCCAGTGGGGCGTAGGCCACGCCGCTGGGGATGGGGATCGGATAAACGATGCTCACATGCGTCAAGGCGCTGAGGTAAGGACCACTGCGGGCCCCATTGTTCCAATCGGTCGCGGGGCGCCCCGTCCAGGTCCAGGGGAGTGTGGGGGGGAGGGGAACTTCCTCCCCGAAGGTGAAGAGGGGGGGGCTGGTTTTTCCCATCGATGCGCCCCTCCGCCCCCCCCCCCCTAGTTGGCCCCTCCCAGCCCCATCGCTGCCACCCGAAAGCCGAAAGCTTTTCAGGGTCTTCTGCCGCAAGGGTGGCGTGGTCTATCCTTCCAGGCGTTTTTCCTCGACTGCGGCCTCTGGAGCCATCTGTCGGGCCCAGGCTTATGATGCTCCAACTTACTTTAGCCTTGATCACCAGGAAGAATTTCGAGCGCCCAAAAGAGTACCGAAATTCAAGGGTTTTTTCTCGTGTCGGGCCCTGGGAGACTCGCCCGACACTGTTTCGACACTCTTTTGACACTTTTCGGGGTGCTCGAACTTATTTCTGAGATGCGGTCCTTAAGTGGGATGGGAATAACATAAACCCAAGCCCTGCGGCCATCACGAGCTGATCTGGGGCGAAAATCTCTACCCCAGGGGAACGCAGCGCGTTGACAAACAATCGCCGCCTCCCGGGGCCGCGCGTTGAAGACACATACACGCATCGCCAGATGTCGAGGGATCGTCACTGCGGAAGCTGGACAAAGAGCTGGCTGCCCGGGGATGAGCCGAAGCCCCTGTAGGTGGCTCACGCCACGAACAAGGATTCGTAGGCGAATTCTCGTTCTGATCCCCGAGTGCCCCCCCACCAAAGGCCTTGTAGAAAAGAAAGGAAGCTTTGGGATACGGCCCGGGGGCTATTCGAACACACCCGTCCCGATATCGAGTATGGACGCCCCCCATCGTATATTCAAGAGGGGTCAAATTCTGGACGCTTCGGGCCACCCCAGCAGCTTCACGCACTGGTTCGTGGTGACCCGCGCCATTTTGGCTGCGTCGCAGCTCCGCTGCTTTTCGCAGTCGTGCGCTCTGCTACCTCGGGACTATGCGGCTACGGCCACCTTGGGATTTGCAGCCTGACAACGCTCTCGCCTCCTGGCTTTAATTCTTTGACCGGCGGTCTTTCGGGCCACCCTGGTACTCACGCAGTGGTCTGGGGTTGCGTCCTTGCATTAATCTCGGTTTCTGGCCCGGGGCGTCGTGTTTCCCGACTCCCTGGTGTCCGACGCTTTGCATATTTGCACGCTGGCAGTTCGACTCCGTTTCAGCTGTCCCCCCACCCGCCGGTCCGCCGTTGGGCTTCTGCGTGAGGTTTCGGTTTACCGCTGTAGGTGTAGCCTCCCTCCGTCGCCTTAGGTTAATTCGTCGCTGCGTGCCCCGCTTTGACTGGATTCGCCGCCAGCGCGCTCGCCCGCGGCCGCTGACTAAAAAGTAACCCCAGCGGCCTTTCCAGGAACGATGCCCAGGCGAGTTGTCCTGGTCAGGGATGTGGAGGAGACTGCAGTAGAATAAGGGGCAGGGGAAGCCGTCACACCCCAAGAGGGGGAAGATAAAGTAGGAGGGAGAGAGAACGGGGGATTGTGGAACCCCTCGGGGTTCCAGAGCGCGCGCGCGCGAGGCTTTCACACTGAGTTCGCGCGTGCGTCTTTCAGCGGTGTGCGTACTCAGTGGCGTCCTCCTCTCCTTCCGCCTCGCCTTCCTCTTCCTCCTTCTCCTCCGCCTCCTCCTCTTTTTTGTTCCTCTTCTTCCCCATCCCCCCAGAACATTTTATTGTTTTTTTTTTTCGAAAAAAAGAATGCGACGTGGCCGCATCTGCCCTCCCCCTAGAAGGACTCCTATTGAACGCTCCACAAGAAAGATTCACAGCGAATTCCTTAACAGAAGGATTCCGATCGAAACCCTCTACGGAATGATTCCTGTTGAAATCCTCCACAGATGGATTCCTATTGGAATCACACGCAGAAGGATTCATATTGCGACGCTTCGAAAAAAGTCCCCCGTTGGCATTGCAGTGGCATTGGTTTGGCAATGGTTTGGCATCGCATTGGCATTGCATTGGCATTGCGCTTGGAAGTGCGTCGCCAGTGCGTTAGCATTTCGCAAGCATTGCGCTGGCGAGTCCTAGTGAAAGTCTCCACAGAAGGACTCCGATCGAAACTTTCTACAAGAAGGACCCCTATTGAAACCCTCCACAAAACGGTTCATATTGACACCCCCCACAGAAGGATTCCATGCGAACCCTTCTACAGAAAGATTCCTATTGAAATCTACCACAAAGGATTTCCCCCATTGGCAGTACATTGGCATTGGGTTGGGATCGTTTTGGCGTTGGTGTGGCATTGCGTTGGCACTGCGTTGGCATTGCGCTGGCATTCCGCTGGCGAGTTCCAGCACCTCCCTTCGCATAGTGATCCCTGTTGAGCCCCCCACGAGAAGCATTCCGATTGAAGCATCCCGCAAGAAGGGTTCACATTGAACTCCCTCACGGACGGATTTCATTCGAAGCCCTCCATCGAAGGATTCTTCTTGAACCCGACCACAAACGATTTCCCCCATTGGCATTGCATTGGCATAGAATTCGGATCGTTTTGGCATCGGGTTGGCATCGCGTTTGTATTGCATTGGCATTGCGCTGGCGAGTTCTAGTGGTTCCCCCCCACCGAAGGATTCCTATGAAAACCTTGCTTGGCATTGAGATGCTTCGAAGGAAAGAACCCCCCGTTGGCATTGCATTGGCATTGGTTCGGCAATGGCTTGGCATCGCATTGGCATTGCGTTGGCATTGACCTCGGCAGTGCGTTGCTAGTGCGTTTGCATTTCTTAAGCATTGCGCTGGCGAGCCCTAGTGGAACCCGCCGCAAAAGGACTCCAATCGAAACCTTCTACAAGAAGGATTCCTATTGACACCCTCCACAGAAGGATTCCATGCGAAACCCTCCACAGAAGGATTCCTATTGAAATCTACCACAAAGGATTTCCCCCATTGGCAGTGCATTGGCATTGGGTTGGGATCGCTTTGGCGTTGGTGTGGCATTGCGTTGGCACTGCGTTGGCATTGCGCTGGCATTCCGCTGGCGAGTTCCAGCACCTCCCTTCGCATAGTGATCCCTGTTGAGCCCCCCACGAGAAGCATTCCGATTGAAGCATCCCGCAAGAAGGGTTCACATTGAATTCCCTCACGGACGGATTCCATTCGAAGCCCTCCATAGAAGGATTCTTCTTGAACCCGACCGCAAACGATTTCCCCCATTGGCATTGCATTGGCATTGAATTTGGATCGCCCCGGCATTGGTTTGGCAAATCTTTGGCATTGCGTTGGCATTGCGCTGGCGAGTCCTGATGCCCCCCCCACACAAGGATTCCTATGAAAACCTTGCACAATAATGGATCCTCTTGAAAGCCCCTACATGAAGGATTCAAAGTGACCCCCCCCACAGAAAGATTCCAATCGAAACCCTCCACGGGAGGATTCCTATCGAAATCTTCCGAAGAAGGATTCGTAACCAAATTATCCACATAAGGATTCCTAGTGAAATCCGTTGGAAGACAGGAATCCCGCCATCGGCATTGCATTGGCATTGGTTTGGCAACGGTTTGGCATCGCATTGGCATCGCATTGGCATTGCGACGGCAGTGCGTTAGCAGTGCGTTGGCATTGCGTTGACATTGCGCTGGCGAGTCATACTCAAACACCTTACAGAAGGATTCCGATTGAACGCCTCCACAAAAACGATGCCTATTGAATCCCCCCCACAAGAAGGATCCAAGTTGAAATCCTCAACAGAAGGGTTCCATGCGAAGCCCTCCATAGAAGGTTTCCTATTGAACTCCCCCGAAGAAGGGTTCGTAGAATCATTGGTATTGAAATCTACCACAAACAATACCCCGCATTGGCATTGCATTGGCATTGGTTTGGCATTGCGTCGGCACTGGTTCGGCATTGCGCTGGCGAGTTCGAATGGCTCCCACCACAAAAGGATGCCGTACCTTCCACAAGAAGGCATCCTTTTGAAAGCCCCCCACATAACATATTCATACTGAAACCCCCCACGGAAGGATTCCAATCGAAACCCTTCACAGGTAGGATTCCTTGCACTGCATTGGCATTGAATTGGGATCGCCTTGGCATTGGTTTGGCATTGCGATGGCAAATTTTTGGCATTGCGTTGGCATTGCGCTGGCGAGTCCTAATGGCTCCCTCCGCAGACGGACTCCTACTGAAACCCTCCACAAGAGCGATTCCGATTGAATCCTCCCACGTGAAGGATTCCTAGTGAAACCCTCCACATGATGATCCCGATCGAACTCCTACACATGAGCATTGCTATTGAAATCCTCCGAAGAAGGAATCGTATTGACATCATCCACAAAGTATTCTTCTTGAAATCCACCAGACGAAAGGATTCCCCCATTGGCATTGCATTGGCATTGATGTTGGTTGGGAATAGATTTTGTATCGCATCGGCATGCATTGGCCTGGTGCAGGAGATAGACAAAGAGAGAGAGAGAGAGACAAAGAGAGAGAAAGAGAGAGAGAACACGAGAGAACGATATAACGAGAACATATTAGTCTGAGGGAATCACGGCAAAAAGAAAAATGGCAAAAAACAGTCAACATTTCAAGGTGAAAGAGCGTTTCACTCGATAAAAGCCGTATGACAACGACGAGGGGCTCCACAATCCCCTGGCCTCGAGGGAGAGGGGGGGAAGGAAGGATGGAGGAGAAGGAACAGGCGGATAAGGAAGAGGAGGAGGAGGAAAAGGAGGAGGAGGAGGAGGAGGAGGAGGAGGAGAAGGGAGAGCAGGATTGCCAGAGGCATCTTTGATGCCTCTCGGAGTCTCTTCGGATGTCTCTTGAGAGTTTCTCGGAGTCCTCGTAGGGCGTCTTTGGGGCCTTCTGGCAGTTCCCGAGGCCTCTTGGAGCGTCTTGGGTGCCTCTGGGGAGCCTCTTGAGGCCTCTTGGGGTCTCTTGGGAGCTTCTTGGGGAACTCTTGGGGGCCTCATTGGGCGCTCTTGGGAGCGTTGTGGGCCGTCCTGGAGGGTTCGATCAACGACGGGGGGGGATCATACCAGCGCCCCCCCCGCCCCCCCAGGAGGCCGACATGGGCCAGAGGAGAGTTGTTTCTTCGCACACCCGTATCCCCGTCAGGCAGGGTCCAGTTTGACCCGATCGATCCCATTCGATATCGATTCTGGCCGGCCTGGTCCGATTCGATTCCGATATTCCCACGATCGGGTGCGGCTTGATGCTTGCATGGCGCCGTTGTGCATCTTGGCGCGGCGGATTTGATTCGATTACAACTCTGTGTCGATCGATGCAGCCCGATCCGAAGACAGATTATATGCTGACTGATTCTGCCGTCAATAGCTGTCTAGTCGCAGTATTTTCTCGCATCCTACGCAGGTTCCACACGGATTCGACGTGGATTCGATGCAGATGCGACGCTTTCGACATGGATTCGACGTGGATTCGACGCGGGCAGCGGCGCGATTAGACAGACGAGGCCCCCGAAGATTCGGTGGTTCGAGGACTGAGTCCTGAGGGATGGGGTCTTAAGGAAAGGAAGGCGTCCGAGGGTGGATATACATTGTTGGAGGCTCTCGTCCTCCAGACCCCAGCCCTCAGGACCCCACCTTTGAACCACCGAAAGATGCAACACACTAGCGCATGCATCGGAGCCAGATTTGAGATCCTGGCACGCCGCGCCGCAAGCGCGGCCGATCGCTCCGCGATCGACCGATAGTTGCCAGTCGCTGCGGGGCCGCGGGTCGTTGCGAGGGCTCGCGCACGCGTCGCATCGGCAGCGAGATCCGAACCCTGCCCTCGCCAGTCCACGAGTCCTTCAACGCGATGGGCGACGGGAGCAGGGCAGGGGTCGGATGTCGCCACCCACATCAAGCGCGGACAGCCAGGCTACGGTTGGGATCTCCGTCGCAGGTGCCTTTCTCGTCAGGGGCTCACTGCGGGGGGGAGGCGTCGGTCCCCAATGGCCCATTCTTTCGCCGATCGGGGCCGAGGTGCCACACCCCGCCCAGGAGCGTGCGGTCTCCCCACCGGGGGCCATCGCCGAGCTGTCGGCGACGTATCGGTGATTCCAGGTCATCTGCTCCCCTGGCCAGTCTTAAGTCGGGCCTGGCCCTCTACATGGGCTATATTCAAACATAGGCAAAAAAGTAGTATGGGTACCATTTTTTGACCATCTTTGAATATCTTAGGGTATTTTTGGACTGTTTTCAATTTTTCGTCTAAAATCGGCCTGCACGGGGACAGGCCCGACCTGAGGCTAGCTCGTCGAGCTCGTCGAGCTGACATGCCCAGGCAGGCCGTCCCTGCCCTGGAAGAGCAGTGCAACTCTCGCACGTGGCCTGTCTCAACGCGCCCCCCGATGTCAGAGTTTGCGCCGGGGCGCCGCGCGATCCGTTTTGCGTGTTGCCGTCGGCCGCAGCCGCCTCGACGCCGAGAGCGGAGGTCCGAGGGGGGTGGGGCGCGAGGTCGGGCAGAGCGGAATGCAGCTCGTTTCTCGAGGAGGCGCGGGAGGAGGGCCAGTCGCTCCAGAGCGTTCCAGGCCACTCCCACAGCGCTGCGGAGCGCCCTGGAGCTGGCCGCGGCGCCGGGAACGTATCCCCTCCAGACCCGCCGGCTCTCCGGGAGCCTCGATGTGTTCTCGTCCGAGTTTCTCCTCGTCTTGCCTCCGTCCTCGCACGCCTGCTGAGGACAGGGCCGTCGAGGGGACGTGGGATTCGGTCGTCAACACGGAGGTCTTCAAGTCGGTGTGGTACGACGTGCAGAAGGACGGGCAGTACATGAGCCACGATTGGGTGGTGAAGGCGGCCGTCCTCTCCGCTCCGGGCGACGCGAAGTATGCACACACACACACACACCGATCCTTCCCAGGCCCAATCCTGGTCCCAGACATTCAGGAGGGGGAAGAAAGCACAGACACAATGAATCGTCGCTTCCTCCGGAAATATGGGAAGAGATGGGAAATGGGGGGAAGACAGAGAAACCGAGAAAACATGGGGAAAGATGGGGGAGCCTGTTGTTTGTGTGTATGTTTTTTGTGTGTGTGTGTGCTCTTCGTACATATATCGGTGTCGACGCCTCCCTGGCACAGAGCATCCCGCGCCGCTCCTGGGCTCACAAGTGCGAGAAGCCACCTTGCGCCGAGCTCGAGTCCGGAGGGGCCTCGGCGGCGCGCGGGAGCGGGTGGCGCTGTCGGGGGGGCGATGAGCAGACCACGACGCTGCTCGTCCTGGAGAGCCATCGTCGTCGTGGCCGCGGCCAGATTCTCCTCGAAGCCTTCCTCCGCACGCCTCCCGAGAAAGGTCCCGGGAGGAAGGGGCCGTACTGGTACCGTTTTGCTCTTCCAGGGGCGCGGGATTCTGCGGTCCGGCTCCGTCCCGTTTCGCCGTCTGGCCGCAATCAGCCAGTTTTTTTTCTTGCGAGGTCCCCGGCACTGCACAGAGGAGGCGATACAGTCGGACCGAGGTACAAGATCGAGGTCGGTTCGGAGAGGGTATCCTGGCTGCCCTTGTGCATCCTGGGGAGGGTACCCCAGGGTGTTCTGTTTGTTTGGCCCGACGGAGGGCCTCATGTTCATGAAGGATGCTCTTATGGCCTAGGTCCAGCTGTACGCTGATCATCGGCTGCCCCCCCGCCCTCCTGTGCTCCCTCCTCCTCCTCCTCCTCCTCCTCCTCCTCCTCCTCCTTCTCTCCAACAAAAATGCGCTGGATAGCGAAAACCCTTTTACCTCCCCCGAGGATCAGTGGCGAGCCCAGGAGGGGAACTCAGAGGGGGGCGGGCCTAAGGAGGCTCGGAAGACCCCCAGGCCTTCTTGAGAAGTCGTCCAAGCCTTCGGAAGACAGGGCGGCTTGTCCGAAGGTCGGAGGGCTTCTGAGAAGCCCCGCCGCATTCTGAGAAGGCCTGTCCCCTTTCACTCCCCCCCTGGGCGCGCCGTCGAAAGGAGGCAGGAGGGGGGGGGCTCCTAGGAGCCCTCCTGCATCTCAGATCTCAGAAGCCTTCCTGTCAGCTTCTGGTGATCACTCGCAACGAGGATCCCAGGTCACCCGTGGGGGCACGCAGATGGTCGCGCTTGCGGTGCCGCGGTCTGGGGCAGAGCGCTTGCCCTTTTCCAGAGGCGGCGGCGCGAGGGCGCGAGGGCGCGAGAGCGCGAAGATGATCGCGCGCCGCGCATCGCAATTAGGTGACGCATCGCAGTTAGGAGCGACCCTTTAAAGTCCCCACGGACTGACGTTTCATCCTGAGTGCAGGTTGGACGGTCCCAGGCCGGGTGAGGCTTCCCAGAGACTGAAAGTAGCCAGGAACGCGCTGCGGTGCCCGTTCTCAAGACGCGAGGGATCCGGGGTGATGTGATCAAATACGCCTCGCGTGTTGTGTCATGGGAGGGCGATGCGTGGCGGGGTGAAGAAAGGTACCCCCTTTTCTGCCCTGACTGGGGCCCACGAGCGACGCGAGAGGTGCACTTTCCCGCCCCCCCCCCCGCCCCCATTTGTCGGATCGTCCCCCCACCAAGCAGCGACCGAACGCCACCAGGGGAATCAGCTCGCGCGGCAGACGCCCTCCCCCCCACGCAGCGATCTCCGCCCACGCACCAGGCCCACGCCATGGCTCTTTCCCATCGTTCCTTCTCTCCGCGGACCTCTCATTTCGGCTCCGCGTGAGAGTGACCTTTCGCCGGAGTGACCGTTGGTGCGGGCTGTCAGGGGTCCCGTAGCACTGGCTTGCACGCTTGGATTTGGACCCCCCGCGGCCCCCTGAGGCCGCGCACCAAGGGTCACTCCTGCCCATGGTCGCTCTTGCGTGTAGCCGATTCTTGGGTCATGACGCAGAAGTGGGATCCTGGGGAACTGGGCACCCGAGGTTCTTCGCTCGGATCGCCCCCCCCCCGCCTGGGCCTCGGCTCCGCCAGAAGAAGCGAGCCCAGGGTGAGAAGCTGGCTCGCGGAGGGAAGCCTTGCGGGGCCTTCAGTTCCCATTTTCTGCAGGACCCTCTCCGTGGGCCAGCGATCGGGAGGAAGGCAGTATCAAGGACAGGCGGCCGCTGGGAGCTCGTCAGCACTTTGCTCCTTTCGTGTTCGTCTGAAGATATCGCTTATGGTCACTCGTCAGAAGCGCGCGGCCGGTTTCTCCACGGAGGCGTGTCACCGATACTGTTTTTTGCTCTCCCAAGTTATCGGGGGCAACGGCTTGGCTTCATGGGGGGATGCAGGGTGGATGCATCGACCACCGACCGCCCGTTCGTTGCCGATGGGGGCCCGATAGCCCACCCCGCCGAGGGACCTGCGGTTTCGCGATCTGGGACCCATCGTCGACCTATCGGCGACATGCCCCCCGATCTCGTCTCGACGGTTCCCCCCTGAGCCGATTCCCCCCCTTGCGGTTCCCCCTCCACTGAGGAGTGAGACCCCCTGTCCGCGTGGGCGCGGCCGCACCCCCCTGGCGTTTTGGAGTGCGGACAGCTCTCTCGGAACGTGCGGCGACCCGCGCGCGCAGAGGAGATCGCAGGGAGGCCTTGGCCACCTCGCCCCGGGCCTCCGGTTCAGATGAGCAGGGAAGAATAACGGTACCCGGTGCACGTCACGTTTCTCGAGATCTCCCGGGTATCTTTGTGTTTCCGGGGGGCCTCAGAATCGAGGGCCGTTGGATACCCTGGAATTCCTGGATCGTATCTTCAGCCAATCGTATCATAAGTCCTGGAACAATTGGCTCAGGGTACGTCAATGAGGCGAGACCGAGGGAGCGTCCGTGAGTCACGATACGTTGGCTGGAGGAACACCGGGCGTCTGCAGGACAAGACTGGTGCCATGATCCATGGCATCCGTCTGGCCCGACTGATGTCTGGTGTTTCTTTACGGCGCAGGCCCTCCGGAGCCCTCGAAGCCATGCACCCCGAGAGGCCGGCTCCTCGCCGTGGCCCCTCTTGATGGCCCCTAAGCTCGGGGCCTGCCCCCGGACGCCGAGTTCGCCCTCATTCTTACCACGCCCCCCGCCCTCTCATGTTCGCGTCAGGTGAGCGGCGAAGGAAGACGGGTTCGTCTCCACCGACGTTGGCGCGTAAGTTTCCGGCGTCAGGTCGCGCGAAAGCGCCCTCGTTTCCAGTGCGGCTTGCCGCGCTGGCGACCCGCGTAAGCCACCGCGTAAGGTCGCTGTACCATCTCGCGTAAGACCCGCTTCTTCTCGTCGCTCATCACCGAGCGCGATCCATTACTCGCAAAGTGCCTACGTACGCGTAAAGCTATCAAACAAACACGCGTTGTCTTCGATGTCATCGGTCGTAAGTCCCCCGCGGCGGATCCGGGCCATTTGCGGGTGGTTAGTTGCTTTGCGAGTAGTGGAACGCACAGAAGGGCGCGCTAATGGGTCCTTCGCAAAGGGGGCCTCAGACATGTACGCACTAGTTCGTGCAATCGTTCGTGCGAGATACGCACGTCGTACAATACCAGCACGTGGCTGCCATGCACCACAGGATGAGCTATTGCGTGTGTTGTTCGCTACCCCATTGCGAAAGACCCCCGCTGCCCAGCACCAACGTGGTCGAACGCGTGGCCTTGGCTCTTGGAGCCAATCCCCGCCTGGTCATTCTGTGCCGGCGCTCCCTCGCAATGTTGGTCGTTTGTCGCGGCTCGGTCCGTTCGGTTGCGTCGCAGCCGGGTGCGTTCGGTCGGTTCGGTTCGGTCGGCTATGGTGGCGTTGCCTCGCCACTCTGCCCTTCTTGGTTTGGGTTGCTTGCGGCCTGTTCATTTCGACATGTTTCGGGCTTGTTGTCGGTTGGTTCGATTTTCGGTTTTGTTGTGGTCGTGAACGGCCTGGGTAGGGTATCGAGTGAGACATGCCCGTCACGCAGCAGCGCCCTGGGTGATGATGGGTTGCCAGGTTGGGTTCCGGGCCTGCTGGTGGGAGCCGCCGCCGTCATTGCCATTCTTTCGCAGCCCCTTCCAAAATCTTCCACTGCGGCAGAAAGCTGGTTTTAGAATCTCTTCCCCATCCCACAGTAGGTTCGTGTCATGTCGATGCGGCTGCGACCCCAGCGCGGGCGTTCATGGTTGAACGCCGCCCGTGGCCAAGGATCGGTGAATATGGAACGATCTGGCAATGGATATGCCGCCGATCGTTGAAGGTTGAACGATCCACGCGGTGTCGGAAACGAGCGTTGAAATCGTCCTGACACGAATTTGCTGTAGCGGAGGTCGCGACGGAGGGTCCCTGTTGCTGCTAGAGATCTGGAACTCTCGTCGTCGTCCCTCGGTCCTGAGCATCGTTGGCGTGTTCAGGCTTCCTAGGCCCAACTATGCGCTGGCACCTTGGCCAGTTCGGATTGCCCTTCGTATTTAAACCCAGTTCTTGTGACCGGTGTTGCCCGTCTGAACTCCCCAGCGAGGCCTTGAACTTCACAGCCGAATCAATCGATCACAGCCTATCGATCGACCCAACGAGGTTGCGAAGTTAGTCGCACTTCGCGGTCTGGGCGACTTCAGAGCGAGGCGCGAGTCCCCCATCCTTTTCCAAGGGGTGCGCCGCGGAAGCGCGAAGATACTCGCGCTTCGCTGAGCGCGGAGCGCGAAGCGCGAAGATGGTTGCCCTAGATCAATCGGCCCCGCAGGTAGACCCGGACAGCGTGTTCTTCCCCGACCGGCTGAAAAGCCACCTTTGGGCATTGCACGCGCCGAAGGAGGTCCCGATCTACATCAAGGACGGGCGGGCCCTGTCGCCGCCACCGTGAGCATGGCACGGCCCTGCAGGGCCCATGGCTGTCCGATCCATCCACTTCGACGTCGTCTCCGGTCGGCCAGATTCGATTCGATTTCGATGTTTCGACGATCTAATGCGGCTCGATGCGTGCATGGCGTTGTTGTGTACACGCCCTGGCGGGGCCGATCCGATGAGTCATCGTCTGCCGAGGAGGAGAAAGAGGAATGAGTATGAATAAGAAGGTAAGGAAATAGGAGGCCGACAACGACGACAATGAATATTGCCACAAACACGGCGACAATGTCAGTGACGGTGACGACGACGACGATGACGACGATGACGGCGGCGCGGACCTCAGAAAGGTTATGTTTACGCATATTGTTTTCAGCCAGCGGAGAGGATGGAGGAGGGTGGACAAAGGACATGGGCGTACGACGATGTGGTCCTGTGGTCCTCCAGCGGCCCCAGAGCTTCGGGCCGTCCCACGTTGTTCGGGGCCTGGGTTTGATGGCCCCGTGTCCTGAAAACGCAGCCACGGAGGCCGAAATTCAGAAGACTCACCATACATGCAACACATCAAGTCGCTGGAAGTCTAGGGAGGGAGGTGCTCCCCTTCCCAGGACATCAAACAGCGGTTGGCGCAGCACGTGCTGAAATATGTGGGCAGAATTCATTTGACGAGAAATCCTTGAACATGCACCGAGGGGCAAGTGATCCAGGAAATCCACCTTCACGCTCGCTGGTCATCACCAGCATCATCACTCTCATTCACCATCCTCACCATCATACCCACCAGCGCCTTAATCCCCTTCTCCCTCTCCTTCTCCGCTGCTTCCTGCCCTGGGGGGGCCCTGTCGCCGGCCCTCGCCTGGACGCGTCAAGCTCAGGTGAGGTGCAGAAGTGTTCTCTCGGACAGGCCCCCCTTCACCAGGAGGCGTGACGGACTCGTCGGATTCTCTCTCTCGACGGGCCCCTGATTAGGAGGCTTGACGGACTCGTCGGACTCTCTCTCTCTCACACTCTCCTCCTCTACCGCCTTCCTGTTCCTCGTGGCACTATGTCGCCGTCTCTCGGACAGCCTTCCGCCTCCCTCCCCTACGGAGCCCCGCGCGCGCAGAACACCGACAGGGACTTCGGCTTCCTGGGCGCCATCGAGGTGTTCTCCAAGGAGGCCGCCCGCCCCCTCCCCCCCCCCGCTTCGCCGTTCGGCTCTTTCGCCGCAGTCTTCCTGGGGGTTCGTCGTCGTCGTCGTTGTCGTCGCCTCGGAGTTATCGTCGTTGTCGTGAATAAGGGCGGGGGGGGTTCGAGGGTCGAGGTCGTCTGCACGTGCTAGGAGGTGTGAGGGCCCCTCGGGGGCGCCCTCCGTGGCCGCGGGTTGGGCTCCCATCAACGGTTCTGGTCAAGACCCACCCGTGGTCTCCGCCGTGGTGGTCGTCGTCGTCGCCGTTGCCGCCGTCGCAGCCGCGTGTTTGTTCGGGGCCAGGTGCTTCCCCGCCTGGGCTCGTGCCACCGCCGCGGGCACTGCAGCTGCTGAGGGGGTGCACTCCTCCCCCTCCTCCTCCCCCTCCTCCTCCTCCTCCTCCTGGAGGGCGGTCCTTTAGCCAGTGTGCTCCCCACCTGCAGGGCGGAGCAAGAGACCGCCATCTTACGGTCACCAGATCTAGACCGTTTGATGTTGTCGATACATACATATATGTGTATGTAGATGTGTGTATATATATATATATATATATGTATGTATTGATTACATCTGTTCAGTTGGCACTCCATGGATACGAGGGCTTCTTGTCTTGTCTTGTCTCCTCCTGGAGACCAAGGCGGCCGCCGTGCCAGGGAGCGCGCCGGGCCCGAAGGGGGTAGCCCGGCTTCTTTGAGGAACTCCCGCCACAAGCTCAGGGATGGCGAGCTGCCCCCCCAGACTGCAGGTGCATGTGAGGGTTGGTGCTTGGCACAATGTGTTGGGTGGCTGGCAGCCACGGCTGGGGCCACCCTGTCGTGCCCGCAAAGGCTCGGACGGTGACCACTGCGTGGAAGGTCAATGTTGAGCGCTGGCAGTGGCAGTGGTCTACGGTGTTGGAAGGCCGGGCCCGCTCAGGGTAGAGCGATCCACACAGTGCCAGAGACCAGCGCGCAACTCGTCGCGACACGTGCATGCCGTTCCCAAGCGCAGAGCATCTGCGGGGGAACAGCACAGGGCAGGCTCGGGGCGCTGTCGCAACGCCCCTTGGCAAGAACACAGCGTCGTCGCCGCGGCAAGATCGATCGGGGGGCCCCTGCTTCCAGGGCCAGGGTATGGCAAGGAGGGTATTGTTGGTCCCGAGACCTTTGTGTTTCTCTGCCTCCCAGACTGTGCTTTCCGTTGCAAGGAGAGCTTGCGTTCCTTACGCTGCACCTCTCTGGGGGGGGGCCGTCCGTTCCACAAGCTGTGGTCTATGTTCCTATCCCCCGCGGGTTCGACGTGGAGTCGACGCGGGGTTCGACGGATTCGGCACGGAGTCGGCGCGGACTCGGCGCGGCCTCGGCGCGGCTTCGACGCGGATTCGCCGTGGGTTCGGCGCGGACTCGGCGTGCACGGCGATGCGCGATGCGCGGAGGGCTTCCTGGCGCGCCAACAGGGGCTGCGCAGTCCCTGCACGGTCGCTCCCTGCCCCCCTGGACCCGCGCACCAGGCCGTGGACAAGCTCTTCTGGCCCGGCGTGATCGAGGCCTGCGCGCACGAGGCCGTCTGCGGATGCCCGTCCCCGATACGCCTCAGAAGCGATCCTCCCCCCCATCAGAGGAGGAGAAGGCACCGGTACCGGCACCCTTGCCTCGTTTTCTCCTTTTGGGGGGCATTCTGGGAGGCCCTCGCCTCGAACTTCCAGTCAGAATGCACCCCGGGAGAGGTCGGGGGAGTAGCGGTGTCAGTATCTTGAAGCTTCCCCACTTCCCCTTTTGGGCGAAGTGATAACCCTAAACCCTCGAGAATAAACACTAGGGGATAATAAAGTTCGGGGTTCAGGGGGAGATAATCAAAGTAGCCCACCAGACCTCAGCATAATCTCGAAGTAAGAGATGATCCAGAGGAGACCAAGCCGAGCACGTTTTGAGACATCCTTGGCGTTTAGTCTTCATAGAAATATCCTCAACAATGGCTTATCTCGCTGGAGACATCCTCGACAAATCCCTTGTTTCGCTTGAGACATCCACAAACTATTGCTTATTTCGCTTGAGACACCGTCGAACTATTGCTTATTTCGCTTAAGAAACGTATCGTTTCGCTTGAGACATCCTTCAGTATATGCTTGTTTCGCTTGAGACATCCTCGAGTATATGCTTGTTTCGCTTGAGACATCCTCGGAATAGCTCATCCGCCTCGGTGTCCCTGGATAATCAACCGCGGCGATAATAAAGTTCAGGCGGGCGGAGGAATGGAGAAAGCGATATACAAAAACAAAAACAAAAAGAAACAATAAGAAATGAAAAAGAAAAAGGAAAACAAATCAAAAAGAAAAGAAACCAGAGGAGGAGGAGAAAGAGAAGGAAACATCTCAAGTTCAAATGTATTAGATTTTATGTACAAGCGTCTTATGAAAATTAAATGTTTTAAGTGCTCGTGTAGGGTAGCTCATGTGCTTCATTTTCCATGGATAACCAACCCCAGGGATAAAAAAGTTCAGAGGGGGGGGGCATGGAGAGAGAGAGAGAGAGAGAGAAAGAGAGAGAGAGAGAGAGAAAGAGAGATACAGCATAAAGAAAAAGAAAGGAAGGATTTAAAGAGAGAATATTTATTTAAACAGAAAAGTAGAATAATACATGAAAAGGAGAAAGAGAAGAGGAAAGGAGGATAAAACAAAAAATCTGAAGATTCAAATGTATTAAATTTTATTTACAAGCGCTTTATGAAAATAACATTTTTTAAGTGCTCGTGTAGGGTAGCTCACGTGCCTCGTTTTCCCTGGATAACCAACCCCAGCGATAAACAAGTTCAGGGCGTCAGGGGGAGGAGGAGGAGAAAGAGATAGAGAGACAGAGAGAGAGAGAGACAGAGAGGCCAGGAAGGAGAAAGAGATAGAAAGACAGAGAGAGAGAGAGAAAGAGAGACAGAGAAAGAAAGAAAGAGAGACAGAAATAACTACAAAGAGACAGAAGGACATTGGTTTCGCTTGAGACATCCTGAAACAACGTGTTCGCTTCGCTTGATGTTGTTATCTCAACATAAGAAGGAAGTAACTTCGATGGCGAACTTTTCCCGTGATAATGAAGTTCGGCCTCCGCGCCCCCGCGCCCCCGACCAAACTCTTATTGGTCGACGATAATAAACTCTAACGACTTAAGGGGGGGGTTACTTTATTCTCATCGGCATGGGGTTATATCGCTCCTCGCCCTTGGAAGAGATATATCGCTCCTCCCCCTGGACCCCCCAGTGCTCGACGCCAAGCGGGTTCCAACCATTGCTTTCAATTAGTTGATGAATCTGTCGTGGTGCTCACGATTCCGCTCGGCGGTCCCCCCCCCTCGGGAATGAATCGGGCGATCGATAATCGCTTCTCACGGTTACCGCCAGGTCGCCCGCGTGGAGTGGAAGCGGTTTGCGTCGTCGGATCGTGCCGTTTCGTCGATACATCCACGAAGCGGCTCGACCCTGAGATTTGGGCGTTGCAATTTATTCGCCTTGGGCGTTTTTTGCCGGTATCGTGCTCCCAGACCACCACAGATCGACCTGACTTGGAACGTGCAGCAGAAAGATGGGGTCTAGGACTGCGGTCGTGATTTGATTTGTCGCGGTGTTGTTTTTTTTCGCAACGCCGGACCTCAGGGGATGTGGAGCCAATCTTATCCACGCAGACGTCGTCGATGTATCTGCAATGCGTCGGTATTGCATCGGCGATGTGGCGCCATCATCTGACTCCACCTGCTCGGACCCCACTTGGGCGGTCTTCGATGCTGTGTTTCATGGGTGAGGGTGGCGTTGCCTGCGGGAGCCACCGAGTGTGCGGGTGGGGGGGAGCTTTCGAAGGAAGGTTTGGTCGTGGTAGTGGTGGTAGAAGTGGTGATGCGGGTGACTGCGAGGAGGATGATCACGATGGTGGTGAGAGGATGTTGATGCGGCTGATGGTGATGATGGCGATCGATGGTAACGATGATAAAGATGGTGGTTGTGCTGCTTCCCATGGTGATGATGGTGGTATGTGGTGCGTGGTGGTGATGGTGATTGGTGATCATCCCGAGGGCGAGGGTGAGGGCGAGGCGAGGACGGAGCAGCAGCGGCGGCACCTCTCCGAGGGAGCCCGTGGAGGCACCGCGGCGGCAGAGCGCTCGCCGTCCTCCCCGCGTGCCCACGGGCTTCCCCCCCGGGCGCCGCCCCCAACCAACACGCGCGACCGCAGGGCTCTCGTAGACCTGGGCAGCTCGCGGCAGCCCCGGGCCCCCCGGCTCGTTGTCGTCTAAAGCCCCACGGCGCACCAGCTCCACTCACCGAGCGCGGTCCTTTTATTCGCAAAGTGCCTACCCGCAAACGCTCGAAAAACACATGCCTGCTTCGATGTGATTTATCGTAGTTCCCCCGCGGGGGATCCAGGCCATTTGCGAGTAGTTGGTTTGCGAGTAGTGGAACGCGCTTGTCTATCCACGCCAGGCCTCCCCTGCCGCCCCGAGCCCCTGGGCGGCCAGGCCCACGAGGACTTTGGCAGGCCCACCGACTCACGGAGTGGCCAGCATGTACGAGCCGAGGAGGCGCTCGCGGAGGCGGGCGGCGTGTCCCTGGCGGGAGCGCGGCCCCGACCGAGCTGACAAACGAGCGGCACCCTCTCCTCAGCAGGCTCGGATTATCTAGAAGCTCAGCGACGCCACCCGTCGTCTACGGCTGCACCTCGTGGACACTCACCGAAGAAATGCTTTGGCGATTACGACGCGTGCGGCGACGCATGCTGCGACCCATCGTGAACACCCCCAGAGACCGAGCGCCTTCGCCGCGCAACGATGCCGCTGGCGCCACCGCCAAGTCCAACCCTGACCAACCAGACAACAACAGAATCGACATCACGAACACGAATAACATCATAACACATTTGACGAAGAACGTCGAAGGCGATTTTGGCCTTGAGCCGTGTGAGGAATTTCTTTTTCGCAGAGCTACCCAGGCCGCAACAGTCCCCGCACCACGACTCAACATGGAAGAGCAGACGACAGTTTTCGACAAGCGCAAGTGGAGACGGGCACGGCGAATAGCAGCACGATCCCGCATGAGGTGAGGTGGACCAGACTCGCTGCACCTTGGGAGCCTGACACCGTGACACTAGACCAGCACAACGCAGCCTCAGACACGGCGGGCAACGGTGTCGGTGCGGAGATGACACATCACATCTCTGCAACACACGAACGGGGCTGTCACCAGGAATTGGGCGGATATCGTTGGAAGCAAACGAGTATGGACACATTAGAAAATATACTTCCTCGACCACGTGCGCTTCAGAAGGAGATCCAGCCCACCCGCGCTGCCCTCAGCAGGCCGGCTGGCCTTCGGTTTCGCGGGTCTTCCGTTCTGCGTCCATAGTACACCCTGGAGCCTCACCCTACCCCTCAGGATCGGGAGCCAGGAGTAGCCCTCGACATCCAAATCTGCATCTTCCCAGTCCGGTTCATCCTCCTCCATCCTGGAAGAATAAACAGGCTCCTCTAAGGTCCGAAGTGCGGGAAAGCGTCCGACCTCCGCCTCATCGTCTCCCTACACTTATGGTCAGCCCGCATAGTAAGGATGAGCGACATTCCAAGGTAACCCTTGCATCCTTGCCCTTCGGTCCATCCTTGGCCTTTCTCGCGGGGCGCGCCGCGCTCGCAAAGTGTCGACATGGCCTTCCAAGGCCCTTGCATCCTTACCGCGCATCCTTATTAGACGAGCTGACTGTCCTACGACCCTCTCTTCCCTGACTGTGCGCCCTCCCTTCTGCATTCCGATTGTTCCACCCAGGATTCCAACCGTTGCACTGTCTGATATGCCGTTCCCATCGGGCAGCGTTTGGTCCTGAGACTGCATGCTCTTGCAGTGGAGCGAGTCCTCGCTGGCGGGCCAGCCAGCGAGGACTCGCCCCACGGCGAGCCCTGTCGGGGCTGCCGTGCAGCGAAGGGGGCCCAGGGCGGGGGCGCTGCCCTTGAAAGTCTCGAGGGGTCCGGGGCGGAGCGGCCGGCCGCGGGCCGTCGCCGTGGTTGTCGTTGGCGTCGCCGTGAAACGCATCCTCGCTGGCGGGGCCCGCCCCTCGAGGGCTCGCCCCGCGGCGAGCCCGGGAGCGGCTGCTGCTTGGCGGCGCGCACCCGGGGGGTGGCGCGGGGGGGGTGGTCTTCACCAGGGGGTCGCGCCTCTTAGAGGGCAGTGGCCTTCTCGGAAGGGCCCGGAGGCTCCCAGGACGGCTTCTCAGAAGCCGGGAGGGCTTCTCTGAGAAGGTCTTGACAGGGCCCCCCCCGCCTGGGTGCACGCGCCGCCGAGCCGTGCAGGCGGGTGCGCAGTAGCGGGTGCCGCGGGAGACGACGTGCCGTAGCTCGCCTCCAGCCGCAGAGGCCAGCCAGCTGGCGGGCGGCCCCAGCGGTCGGGGGTCTGGGGGGCCAGACTTCCGATGTCCGACCAAACTCGGGGCAACGTAAGACTTGAGCTCTCCAGAACTCGGGTCTGACGACGTTTTTTGACGAGACCATCGTATCTTGGATTTTGACGGTCCAGTTTTTGCGTGGTGTCTGCAGCGGGAGCTCGCGTCAATTTCAGATTGGGTCTCGCCATTTTCTTGACGGCCCTGTCAGGCCAACCCGAGTCCCTCGAGCCCGAGTCTTACGTCTCTCCGACACGCGGTAAGAAACCAATCGGGCAGGGACGCCGCTCGTCTCCAGCGCGAGGAACCGCCCAGATGGCAGGCGGCCCCTGCGGCTCGACGTAGTCGGGTCGTCGGGGCTCTGGGGGCCCAGGGCTGCGGCCTTGCCGCCAGCTCGACAGAGTCGGGTCGTCGACGGTCTGGGTGCCAGACTTCCGATGTCAAACGGTTTGAATCAATCGGGCAGGGGCGAATGGCAAATGCATAGTCGTTTCTCATTTGGGTCGAGGGTTGCAGCCTGGTGGCCGCGACGACGACGACGACGACGACGACGAACCGACAACATCGTTTTAACCATCCCCTTCAAGCGGGGCGGCGCAGACCCCGCCCCTGGGCATGCCTTGACCGTCAGTTCGCATCGAGTCCTCATTGCGCGGGCACGGCTCTCGACCCCGTCTCGGGGGTCGGGTGCTCGTCCTCGAAGGTGGAAGAACATGTCATAAACATATGTTTGTTCCTATGCCTCCCAGATGGGGTCCGAGTAGCTGGTGTCGGAGGATCGCGCCGCCTCGATGCGGAGTCCGATTTTCTCCACGCCGACGTCACCGATGCATCGCCGATGCATCGCCGATGCATCGGCGATGCGGCGAGATCCTCCGACTCCATCTACTCCGACCCTATCTAGAAGGCCTTTTTTTTGAGGTCCGCGCGGATTTCTTGGATCGGCGCTGGCCCCCCTGACCCTGGCGCGCCGAGCGCCAGGCGCCGATCCAATCAGTCCTCGCGATCGACCGTTTGCATTCTTGGAAAAGCATAGATGCCTCGACTTGTTTCGACTGTTGTTCAAGACGCTGGTCGTCCTCCTCCCCGTCGGTGTTTAATCGTGGGCCCCTGTGTTGAACTTGTCCATCCAGCTTTCGCGCGCGGAAAACCGCCAAAAACCGTTGAGATGCCGGCGAATCAATCACTTCAGACAACCGAGCACCGCCGAAAGACGGCCGATTACCCCTATTTACCACCAGAGGCACACGGGTGACAATGGTCAGGTGTTGCCAGAGCATCTTTGGCCTTGTGAAGGGGACAGAGTAAGAGGGGGGGGCTTGCGAAATCTGCTCCCTGCCAGCCGGTTTCAGCTCCGCCGCCAGTCGCCCTCTTCGGCACATTGACGCCTTTGGCGCCAGGAGGCGCTGGGGAGCTCAGCCACATGAGCAGATTCGTTGACTCCCCCCTTCGTCCGACCCAACCGGTAACCCCAGGGAGCCTCCAGGGCACTCCTCGCGGAGCCCAGGAGGTGGGCCGAACGGGCTCCTGGGTGGCGCGAGGGGCCGGAGCCAGGAGTACCTTTTAGGCCGCACGCAGCTCCCCTCTGCTCCCGCGGCGCACCAGGTGGGGGAGCACTCCGGGGAAGACGGCTTCATGAAGGCGAGCGTCGCGCCCCTCTGCTTCTCCTTCGTCCTCCTCCGTCTCGTCCTCCCTCCGCCTCCTCATCCTCCCGATCCTCCACCTCTGCATTTCTCCTCCGTCTCATCCTCCTCCTGATCCTCCTCCCCCTCCTACTCCCCCTCCTCCTCTTCCGTTCTCATTGCTTCGCTATCATTTTCCTCATCGTCCTTCGTCCCTCCCTTTCCTCCCTCCCCCTCATCGTCCATCGTCCCGTCATCCTCATCCCCCTTCCCTCCCTCGTCTCTCCCTCCCTCTCCCTGATTCCTCCTCCTCCATCACCCTCCATTCCCTCCTCCTCCTCGTCCTCCTCTTCGACCTCCTCCCTCTCCTCCGTAGCTATTCTGGCTCAAGCCGCGTTCCCCGTTTTCTCCGCAGCCGTCTCGCTTATGGCTGGTGGGGTTCTGCTGGCGGCTGGGAGGCGGTTGGGCTAAACAGGGACGAGATGTTTGCACGGGATGAGGCCCCGAGAGGTGGCTTTGTGAGACGCCCAGCTGCCGAACGGCGCACGGCGAGGGCTGCGGCGGCGTTCGTAGCGGATGGGACCATTCAGCGGCTGCAGCGGCAGCCGGCGCAGACCTTTGCCGAGGCCAGGCGCTGCGGGCTGAGCTGGACGCGCTGCGGGCGGTACCTTGCGGCTGCGACAAGTTTGAGGGGTGTGTTCATCTCATCGTTCCCGTCCTCGCTTCCGGAGTCGCAGACGCTGACGTGCCGCCTGCCGTGGCGGCGCGCCGCAACCTCACGGCCCACGAGTTCGGAGTGCTTGCAGCGATGATTGCGTCGGCGAGCCAGTTGGTGCTCAACCGTCTTCACCGTGAAGGTGTTGGAGGACGTCGTCGCAGGAGGCGCCTCCCTTGAGATGGTAGCGATGAATCGATGAGAACATGGCTGGCGAAGTTGCGAAGATGACCTTCGACTCGACTGAGAAGGGGCTCGCTCGTCGGAGCCTGCCGTGGGTACGTCATGCTCGTGCGGTGCGGTCTCATTCTCGACGTGCCTCGGGTTACTTTGTGCAGCGCCACGTGGCACAGGCACGCCGAGGAGCGTCGTGAAACAGGCTGTGGCAGCTGAGGAGTCGACGGAGGATCTGCGTGTTAGCAGCGGTGGCCATGACGAAGGAATGGGCGACGTTATCCTGGAGGTAGTTGAACCAGCCCCGTTCGAGTTCAGGATCATGCTCGAGATCTTCATGCCCCTCTTTGCGCTTCATCGGCAGCTCGTGGATTCCCCTGGCGAGGCCCAGCTTCAAAAGCATCGGGATGTGCAGCCGTTCGCGCGGCGCCGCGATGCGCTTGCAGGGACCGCGGGGCGGGAGTCCAGCGTGGAGCGCGCACGCAGCCGCCAGCGCTGGGAGGCGAGCGACGAGCGGGTGCGGTTGCTCGGCGATGCCGAGGCCTTGCGCGGGAGGGCGCCGATGGCTGCAGCCGCCCAGCAGTTGGGCGCCGCCGCAGTCCCGACGGTCGATTGAGACGCCATCCTTCCTCGAATTCGTCCACGGCTGCGCAGGTGCCGCCAAACAAAGGTACAGCGGGTGGCTGCAGCGCTGCGTCTTGCAAGCAGGTGTGAGGGTTGTCGTGCATTGTATTCGTTGTGGAGGTCTTGGGGAACCACTCATGGTTGCCATGTCTCCGCCGCCATGAGGAGGAGGAGGAGGAGGAGGAGGAGGAGGAGGAGGAGGAGGAGGAGGGGGAGGAGGG